TTTTGAATTTGTTCTAAATATAGACATTCCTTGTCATTTTAGTAAAGGTCTCATATATCTATCTTAATGGATGAGATAAACAACAGAATGAGATAACATTTGGCTTTTTAAGTTTCTCTGAAGCATTTGGGTAAGATGAGGGTAACATTTAAGGAAATATAACTTGGAGTGAGGTTATGAGTCCTTGGCTTTGGAACTTCCTGTGGTTTTGTTTCTGATGTGGCAATTGGCATCCCTGAGCCCCACAGGGAAATGATGCCATGAAGAACCACGATGATGATGTCCGGGAGCATTATGATACAGTGCTTCACATGAAGCCTACACGAGGAAGGCAGCTATCATCTCTTGTCTAATCAGGAGTTTACGAATGTGGCCATCATATATCACACTCTGCTATGGCAGCAATTGGTTTTTACCAGCAGTAGTAGTTATAAATGCTATCTATTGCTATCAAGAGAGCACTGTTGTGCTTCTTAGAGAACATAGTTCAGAATTTAGGTTCGGGGATGATTATGTAAATGCTAGTGCCTCCATTTAAACAGATTTTTGCATTTGTAAAGTTAGAATAGAAATATGAAGTTCAGAATGACAGATTAGGGATGGAGGTCAAAGAATACAGAACTGGGCAAGTTGATCCAGCAGTTGGTTCCCTAATGGCAGAATCTGGAGATGCAGCTCAGTGCTGGAGGGTTAGCCAAGCCACACAGACATCAGCAGGGGGAGGTTAAGCCTTTTCAGTAGTCTTCCAACAGCATCGGTGTGGCCCTGAACAACAGAACACTCTCCATGAACCCAAAAGTGCAAGTCCAGAGGCTTACAAATAGAAAGGACAGGGAAACCCACGTTCTTTACAGCAAAAAGGGAGAGAAGGGGAGAAAGACTGAGAGACAGGGAGAAGAGGCTTATTTGAAAAGTATCAAAATAGCAGACTAAGGATGATTAGTAGACAGGACGCTATGTACATTGTTTTTAACATTTTAAAAACAAGATAAATTAATTTTCTATAATATTCCAAATACTGGTTTAAGAGATTTGCAGGACACAACAAACGAAACAGACCACCAGAGTCAAGACTGTGTTCTGAATTTCTGTTTTGACCCCAAAGTTAACAAAACATGTCTGACCTCACTTAAGTAGAGATTGAGGATGTGGAAGTTTTGCCTGAAATTTTTTGAAACTGGCTAAGGCTTTTTTTTTATGTTATTAAGACTTTAAATTTATTGTATCTGTGAGCTCTTCAAAAGGAAAGAACATATAAATAAAGTAAGTTTCCTCCCCCACCCCCAGACCTAGAAACCCAAAGGTAGAGGATGGATCAATTTAAATGGTATACCCATAGGAATAATTTAAAATATGACTTGGTAAGAGTCACTCATGTGCTCATGTGTACAACTGTAGACAAATGTCTGTCATTTTGCCCTCTTATTACAACTTTTCTTTATTCTGTGTCTTTATCACTGACTACCAAATGACACCCTTGTCAAACATCATTATTATTATTATTAATCATTACTTCTTGTTATCTATGCTCAAATAAGTCACACACATACACACATCTGTACTTTCTTTTTGGAGATATCATACCATGCTCTATATGCTACCTGATCATCTGATTGAACACATAATTTACATACTGATCGTTAGAATGAATATTGTTCTTTTTCTATTTAAACGGTTATGAAATATAAAATAATGAAAATGAAGCTCATTCTTCTTTCTTTTTGTGTTCTAAGAATATTTTTGAGGCAGTATCTTATTGTGCATTCCAGGCTTATCCTCCTGCCTCAGCCTCCTTGGTTCCTGGAGTACAGGTACGTACTACCTACCAGGCCTCATTTTCTCACTTAAAAATTGTGTCAAACTCAATTACAAGTATTAACATTTGGGTAAATGCATGATAACTTAATTCATTGTTTTTAATGGGAGTATATTTTATAATGTGCATGAATTATACTTCTAAGTATTTTTCTATATGGATTTACCAGTTACTTTTATTTTTCCCATGTAAGTGATGTTGTGATAAAAATCCTCAGATATATTTATATAATTTGAATGTCTGTCTATCATCCAATATCCACATGTTGAAACCTAATCCCCAAAGTGGTACTTGCAGGTGGTGGCACATTTGGGAAGACAAGTCACTCATGACTTGGATGTGTGCCCTTACAAAAAAACCTAGGATTTGTGCCCCTACAGAGGGCTCAGGCAACCAGAGGTCCTCACTTCTGCCAGATGAGGACAGAGAGAAGGTGCTGTCTGTGAACCAGAAAGTGGGCCCTTGCCAATCACTGAGGGTGTCAGCCTTTAATTGAGACTTCTAGTCTTCAGAACTGTGAGAAAGAAATTTCTGTAATGTATCTACTACCCAATTTAAAAGTGAGTTATTGTAGCAACCCCAGTGAACTAAGACACATATATCTTTATATGCGTTTTTATCTCTATGGCATAAATGCCCATAAGAAATGGATTGTGGCTTAGACTATCTGCTTCAAAGCTGTTTCCATCACTTTGTCAGACTTCCACAGAGAACCTGGGCTATTTTAAATGCTCTGTCATTATCAATTGACAGTGTTTTCAGATCACTCACCGTTTACCAAGCATTCTGAAAGGGACTACCGAGAGATACAGAGACAAACAGAGCAGATGTTAGTGCACCAGGAGACCATATTTCCACTCAAAGTCAGAATCACCTGCAAATGAATGTGTGTGTGTGTGTGTGTGTGTTCACGTGCACACAGAGTGGCATGCACTGAGTGGCTCCTTATGCTTCTGCACACACACACACACACACACACACACACACACACACACCCATGTATAATGCCATATATAAAATCCAATGGAAGTCCAATAATGTTGTGAATCACCCAGTTTGGGGAGCAGCAAGGCGAAGGGGTAAACATGAGAAGAGTTTTCACTGAGGAGCTAACATTTCAGCTGAGGTAAAAGACAAACATCTTTCCCATCCTGGAGTGTGAAAGCATTCCAAATAGTGGGAAGAGAAAGAGTGAGCTGAGTAAAATTTCCTTTGAGAGTTGGAGGGACCTGGTGGGTCTCTGAGTGGAGCTTCTTCTGTACTGAGACGTCTAAGAATTATTCAAAAGGCTTACTTCAAATATAGCCTGATGAGCATCCATCTTCCTAATATTTTGATTTTCTGTCCAGAAATCTATTATTTATTTATTTATTTTTGAAACAGGGTCTCACTTTGCTGCCCTTGCTGGCCTAGAACTTGCTATATAGGCCAAGCTGACCTTGAACTCAGAGATTTTTCTGCTTCTGCCCCCAGAGGGCTGGGATTAAAGGCATGCAATACCATGCCTGGTAAAAATCTGTCATTTAAATAAGTTCTCTCAGACTGATCACAATTTGAAATATTCCAGTAGAGGCTGTGTGGTGAGTAGTGGTACAAACCAAACTGCTGAAGAGTATGAGATAACAGAGTGATATTTCAGGTAAATGATCATGTGAGACAGTCACAGGTTATATCAGAGAATGATGTCAGGTTTCTGAACTTTAGGGGAAACTAGTTTGGAAATGGGAGTACTGTTTTGATTTTAAAAAGTCACCCTCCCCACCAAATGAATAATTGAACGGCCAAATAAATAAATGTGAGGAAGATTCTAAGGAAGCCAACTAAAATTTTCTTCACCTATGAGCATTGCTTACTTAGATTAACTTGACTATAAGGAAGCAAATCAGAACAACAACAAAAATAACATCAGGGCTGGCAGGATGGCTCAGCAGGTAAAGGCACTTTCTGCCAAACCTGACCACCTGAGCCAGATCCCAGGAACCCATATGGTAGGAGGAGAGAACCAACTCCCACAAGTTGTCCTCTGACCTCCACACATGCATCAAACCCACCTCCCTCCCACATACAGTAAATGAATATAAAAAAATTAAAAGGAAAAGAATAAACAATATTAGAATAGCCACCTCAGAGCTAGTAGCTGGAACCTTCCAAAAGCTTTCTTGAAGAGGTTAAATCAATTCTTCCAGGCACTGTTATCTAGGTCAACATACAAGGCAGATATGATTACCTCCTAGACTATATAAACATGAAACATGCTTGTGTAGGCAAAGCTAAATACATGCACGCCTTTGGCGCCAAGGTCTGAGAGCACAGAACAGGCCCTTACATAATTTCCCAGTTAGTCACTGTTGGGGCTTGTGATTAATTCTCTATGACGGGCTTTGAACTTTCTGTTCAGATAGGTTATTTTGCCTTCAGAGCTTCCAGCAAGAGGAAACGTGTGGCTGCAAACTTCACTCCTGATAACCATCATCCCAGCCAAGAACACTAGCATAGCTCCGTGAGGCCTCGTGAGTAACCATTTCTGTGCTGTGCTTCTCTGAACGTAGACAGATTGTCATGGGACTCAAGGTGGCTTTTAAAAATAGAAACAAAACAGAGGGTGACAGAACTTTCTACAGCTCATCCCTGAAGAAAGCTAGCAAGGAAGAAGGGTGTATTCATCTGGGAAAAATCAGAACAGCCTTCCAGGAACAGCCAAAGCAGAGAAATTGCACCCGGGAAGGAAGTCCTCTCGAAGGTCCACTCCCTCTAGCTGGAGCTTCCCACTGAGCGGTTGATTTCATCACTACCTGCCCAGAGCTGTGCGAGGAGCTGTCCCAGTGCTGACCAACTTTTCAAGCTTGACCATGTTCCTCCTCTCTGGCCAGCACACCCGCGAGTGTCCAAACCAGAGGCCAGGTCCCCATGGCTTCTCCCACTCCCTCCCCATCTCCCTGTCTTCCTCAAGACAGCCCCAGCATCTACAAGCCGAGAGGGGAGGTGACACTTCCCTCAAGCTCCTTTAAAAACACATCTAATTCCAGCTTCCCTTCCGAGTGCTGTCCTGCAGCCCTGGAATGGCACCTTGAGAGCAGGCAGGGTTGCAGCAAGGTGGTTGGACCTCAGGTTTTGAGCAGAACCAGGTAGAGAGCCTCACTTGACCTCTCTTCACCTGGCGGGTCGCTGGTACCCCGCTACTCACCAACTCCAGGGCTCGCAGGAAGGAAAGGGGCTCCTTCAGCGCCCGGAAGGTGCCCGCCGAGGCCAGCTGCGGATGAACGAGACAAGGGAAAGAAAGCAAACGCGTGAGCGGAGGGCTGGGGGTGCAGGTCCTGGGTGTTGGGGTTCCGGGTGTCTTCCCACCCCCAGACAGCCACCCTGTGTGTTTCATCTCACCTGGCTCACAGGGTCCATTGCTAGCCTTAGCTCTGTCTTCCCAAGCTCTGGTTCCCTTCAGGTAGGAAGTTCGCCTGGCCCAGGATGAGGAGCCCCTTGGGGACGGAGTAGACCCTGGGAGCAGCTGGCAGGGGACGGAGCCAGGAGCGCCGGCTGCCCGCCCAGCTTGCTAGGGCTCGGCTCTGCGCTCAGGAGCCAGCGATCAGGAAGGCGAGGAGCCTGCGAGGGGTGGGCTGGGCAGAGTGGGCTGGGGAGCGGCAACAAGGGAGGGGAGAAAGCCAAGCCATCAGGGCCAGGCTGCCATTGGCCAGACACATGCTTCACAGGGGAGGGCGACAGGGTGGGCGAGGCAGAAGCCAGCACATTGGTCCAGGCTCCTCCAAGCGCCTGCTGCCCTGGGCTCTGGCGAAACTTTGGAGCTGTTGGCTGGGGACGGTGGGCTGGTATCATGAGCAAGAGGGCTCCAGGCTGGAAGAAGGGCTTCGGGTAAGGAAAAAACAAAACAAAACAAAACAACTCAGTATCGCAGGAGACATGTATTATATCCTGGTGAATTCACACTTCAAAAGAAACCATTCATTCCCCAAAGCCTTCAGGAAGCAGGGGCTGGGAATGCAGAGGAGATTGAGATGTGGTCTGGAAAGAGAGAGGAAAGGAGAGAGAGAGAGGGAGAAGGAGCCAGAAAGGGAGAGAGACATAGTCAAGTGCTGTGTGTGTTGCAGGTGGAAAGTCAACTAGAGGTGGGACCGATTAATCTTTAATATTGGGTCAGGCCCCGGAAGGTAATCTTCACAGCTATGTGTGAGAGCCGAAGCAAATAAAGCATTTTAAAAGTAGAAAACAGATAAAGAAGGCCAAGTTAGCCAAGGACAAGAGTTATCAAGGGCCCAACAGGTACTGAACTTCAAGAACCTCTCAAACCCATACTGCTTCCGCTGAAACTCTTTACCTAATTTCCAATCCTCAAAATGAACCTCTCTGAAGCAATTACAATTGAGAATCTGAGTTTCCACTCCAACATGAGTCAAACTCTTAGAATTTGGTGGGAAGATGCTCATCCCCCCCCCCATTGGGCCAACCTTCTTGGAAATAATAACAGAGAGAGCTGAGTTCGCTCTATCAATCAAAAAGCCTTGCTAAGGCTTGATAAACATTACTTCATTAAATATTCACAAACACCTGTGTGTTAATAGCTTCGTTGTTCTCAATCTAAAGATGAAGAAATTGAAACTTGTGGAAATGGCCTGCTTGAGGTTGCTCAACTTTCAGATAGTGAAGCCAGAACTGAATTGAGAAAGGAGTCATGGCAAGACAGAGAAAGGTAAGGAGACGAAGGACTCTTCACCATCCTAAGCAGCAGATATGTCCCTTCCTTCTGCCTCCCTTTGGACTGGATTCCACATTTGAAGTGGTCTCCCAGCAACACAGAGAGTCCATCTGTTTACTACAAAGATTTGCCAAAAAGGTTTGGAGAGTGTGGATATATATGTGAGGGGGTATGTAATTTTTAGGGGTGGAGGGAAATATGGAAAGGAACAGTTTACAATCTGGGAGAAGAGATAGAGGGTCAAAACTGGGTAAGAAAGGGATGTTTCAGGGTAGATGCCCTTATCTATGGATTTTGTTAAGAAACTAGAAATCTTAGAGTGGAAACTCCAACAGGCCAGTTGCACCATCTGCATCCCACAGCTTTTTTCCTATGTGCAAACAGAGTCTAAACAATTGGAAATGATTCTTTCAAAAATAAGCCATTATGCAACTACAAGTACTGGGGGGGGGGACATAGTCAAGTATTTAGTGTGTGTCCTGCAATGTAGGTTTATAATCATCTAGGTGAACCTCTTTCTTTTCATCTGTAAAATAGAATACACATATTGCATATTGCCATAGCTAGTTGTTATGGTCCCTGATCTACGGAAGGTTTTGTCAATAACCCATGTAGGATAGTCTCTGATTAGGTCATAGTCTCTCAAGATGTATTCATTATATCTCTCAGTAACTGCACATTTATGAAGCAACTTTGAACACGCAAAGGTCCAGACTGTACCACTGACTTGCTACACTTTCTAGTGCCTCTCTTCTCTTGGCCCAGGAGTAGCCATGTGACTTAAGGAAATCATGTATGTATTCCTGAGGACAAGCTCTGGGGAGACGGTTTGGGAACCTGTACATGATCTGCCATCTGATTCATTTCCTAACTCTGAGTCATGATGGATCTAATTTCTTTGTAGAGGCTTCTCTGGCTGGGGATAGAGCTCAGTGGTAGAGCATTTACCCAGCATGTGCAAGAGCCTGGGTTTGATCTCTAGTATTATAAAAGAAAAAGTAGACTTGCGTAGCCTAGGTTCCCACATAAGGCTGATGTAGAAAAGAGTTGCAGTTGGGCCTTAATGAGCATGATTTCCTAATGCTTTGGGGTATGTATGTAAAGAATCAAGACATTAAATTTTTGTTATAATTAACCTAAGCTGATTAGTAAGATTTCAAAGTTAACAAAAAACCAAAATTCTACATTGACTCTGTTCAACCTCATTGTTGACATCTCCTGCATATGTTTAATAATGAGGATAATTATCGAACAGTAGAGATTCAGTTTCTCCTACATTCGGGGCATTGCACTAAGTGTTTCACATATTTCACAAAAACCTCATCTCAGTCTCCTCTCCTCACCCCATGTGTAGCACACCCAGGCCTTGAAAGGCTAGGTGACTTGTATGAGTTCATCTATATATTTTTATCTTTTTAGACAGGGGTGAGATTTATGCAATATATTGCCCATTTGTGGATCATTTGAGCTGAGATCTTGGCACAGAGGAAGTGTGATTTCTGTGGCTCTTCCCCCAGGTCTTTCTTCACACTCAACCTTCCTCCTTGCTAATATGGTGACACATTTCTCCAGTTCTCCCAGCACCATGTGAAGGAAGCCAGCACCGTGGCGAACGGCGATGTAACAGCTTAGACAATTGCACATTGTCAGAGGATGCTTTTCACATTCCACAAATGTATGAACTTCCAACAGCTGCATCACCAAAATAACCAGAGTTCCATATCACATTTGCAATGCTAAATATTTTGTAGTCTTTGGAGTTAGAACCTCTATATTCAGACCTGGGAATGACACAAGGTTACCTAATGACCTGGGAGGAGGAGAAGAGATAAAACGCAGCCAGTTTTATTACCAGTGACTTAAGATGAGCCCTTCTGTTTTGTCCCACGATGGTGAAAAAACACTTTCCATCTTATTATAGCAAATGCGCTGTAATAGCTCAGTGATCATGATAACTTTGATGGGGCATAAATGACTTATTTAAGTAGCCTACATTGACTATGTATCTCAAGTGGCTTCCTAATCTCTTTTGTTTTAAGCCAGGGATTCATAGCCATGAATGCTTCATTGATACTCCAAGGCAATCTATCTACTTGCTTCAAGAGGAGCTCATTCTCAGTAGAGGGCAAATCGGGTCCTTTTTTGCTATATTGGCAGGGTTTGGAGACATTTTGTTTGTCATATGGCAGGGGGTGACATCTAGAAGGTAAAGACCAGAGATGAGACTCAGCATCCCCCTAAGCCAAAGACTTGTGTTTTAGCAGCAAACTGGAAAACATTTATGGTTCCAAGGTTGAGGAAACTTGGCTTGCTCATTCAGTAAGTAAAGGCCGACTGCCTGCTGTGCATTAACATGGTTATGTTCTAATATGATTCTAGGTTCTGGCTGAGACTTCTGCCTTCACAAAGTTTACTTGGTAGGAGAAAATACTCAAAGCCTTAGCTTTTAATTCAGTATTTTCCAAATAAGAAAGTGAACAGAAATAAAATAATAAAAACAACCATTTTAAATCTTGAGGACTCTATTGGATCAAAACTACAAAAACCAAACTACCATGCTGAAGTCAATGAATTCACTCTATTCAGGTAAATTAGAGCTTGTTTTCAGGAAAAATTATGCTTGTATTTCATCTTCCTGTCTCCTGTGAAGAAGGAAATAGAAATTTAAAAGTTTATCCATAGCAGCAGTACAGGTGGAAACACTGCTTCCAGGTTATGAAATCTAATGTAAATAACGAGGGTTCGTCTGTCAAAATACTGCATAATTCACTCTCTGCTCCTGCTGGGAACCTGAACCTCAAAATCTTTCCTAAGGCTTGTGAGCAAGTGAGGACAGTTGTACGACAGTGTATTTATTTGTGTGTTTGGTTTGCGGAAGGCTCTGATTTAAAAAGAAATACAGCATTATCTCTCAAACATCCAATAAAGTCATCTTTATTTTCTGATGTTTCTGTTTTAGCTGAAGGAAATAATATATCAATTATTTTCATTAGTGCATGTTCATTATGCATGGTACTGAGTTACACAAGTATGTTTTCCATACAAGTTTATAATGCACTTTGAGTATATTTCTCCCCAAACCACCCAAGTTTCTCCTCCTCCCCCTCCTTCTATTGTGAGCCCTCTTTATCCTCTGAGGCAGTATCACAAGGTACTTCCATGTCACATATACACTCATAATTTTATCTATATAGAGACATCTAGGAACCACAAATAAGAGAAGATGTGGGATATTTGTCTTATTAGGATTATCTCCAGTTGCATCCATTTTCCTGCCAATGATACATTCTGGTCTTCTTGAGGACAGAACAATTTCCACTGTGTATACATACAGCATCTCTTTTATCCATTCCTCTGTTGAGGAACACCTAGGTTGGTTCCATAACTCAGCTTTTGTGAATAGTGATATAAGTACCTCTGTGATAGGTTGATTCAGAGTTCTCAGGTTAAATAACCAGAAGTGGCCTTACCTTCTAGATGTCACTCCCTAGGCCACTAGTCATAACTAGATCGTATGGTAGATTTAGTTTCAACTTTTTGAGGAACTTCCATACTGATTTCCATAGTGGTTGGACTACATTGCCAGTAGAGTATGAGGGTTTCCTTTTATCTGGATGCCTGTCAGTTGTCCTGTTAGTGGTTTTCTTCATGACTGCCATTCTATTTGATATGAGATGGAATCTCACTGTAGTTTAATTTGCATTTCTCTGATGACTAGTTTGGATGAACTTTTTTCATATGTTTAATGGCCTTTGGGCTTCATCTTTTGAGCACTGTTTGTTCATTTCATTATCCCACTTACTGACTGGGTTGTTTGATTTTTCTCTTCCCCAAAGTCCCTGAGCCTTGGAGGGGGTGGTAGGTATAGGATGATCTCCTTCCCATTGTGGCAAGGCACTGAACTTTCAGGTCTCTGCATCATCTGTTTTCCATGGACTGTTGGCCAGTTTCAGTGGGATTCCATCTACACCACGTGGAGGCCGAATCCAGGCACTCTCAGGTGGTCGACCTGCTGAGTTCTCAGCATCTAAGCCAGAGAGAGACCAGAACAAGCACTCTCAGGTTGTCTGCTAAGGTTGCAAAGTTTCAGGTTTTACATAGTCTTTGATCCAATTGGAGCTGACTTTTGTGTAGGGTGAGTGATAGTGATCT